TCCTCCAGGGCTCCGTCAAGGAGGCCGAAATTCTGCCTGCAGCTGCATTTAAAGGCCTGGACCACAAACCCATATGTCTGCTCCTTAATTTTAAGGAGTTGGTGGAGAAAGGCCAAGGCTTTTTTAGACGGAACAATGCCCTCTTTGCACAGATCGTTTAACAGAGGCAGTCAAATGGAATTGGCTGCTCATGAGGCAGGAGGAGGCTAAGCGACATAATAGACAGCAATGGTTTATAGACAGTTATACGGACTTGTCCCATACCGTATCGGCCGAGTCGAGAACCATAGTGGCGGAACACAAAATAAAAAAAGGGGAACTTCAAATTGCTATAACAATCACCAAAGCCAATCTTACATCAGATCCCACTAACGAGTTCTATTCCGACCTACTCGGATCTGCCAAAGAGGAACTCAACGAATGGAGGAGATGGGAACTAAGAGGCCTGCAACTACGCGCCAGGATGACTGATTACACCCTTAATGAGTCTATGACCAAGTTCTTCTTCTCTAAGATTAAGTCAAACACTAGAAACAATATGATCAAAAGATTGAAGGACCAATCAGACCAAGGGACAATGAAATCAGCTGGCACAGACTTGGTAAGGATAGCCAGGTCCTTCTACTCAGACCTCTACGAGTCCAAGACACATTCCCCCACCCTCATCTACGAACCTAAAAGCTCGTTAACATACGATGTCCTACCTGGACAGGACGATAGCGCCGAAACAAACGGTAGGCCTAGATGAACCAATGACCCTAGGGGAGCTCCACATAGCATTATCCCAGATGGGGAAAGACAAAGGTCCAGGGATCGATGGTCTCTCTAAAGAGTTCTGGATCTATTTTTGGCCGAAATTGGGGAGCGACCTCGTCAATTTTATTAATGACAGCAAGACAAAGGGTGGTGTGGGCCAAATCCTTAGCACCAGCGTGGTCTCCCTACTCCACAAGAAAGGGGATAAAGAGGACCTAAGGAATTACAGACCGATCTCACTACTCACAACCCCCTATAAAATCCTTGCGAAAACATTAGCCAACAGGATTATAAAACTCACTGATAAATGCCTCCACATCGATCAAGCAGGGTTCATCCCGGGGAGATACATCCTAGACAACGTGATGACCCTGAACGAGGCAGCAAAGAAGATCACGGAAAAACGAATGCAGGCTGCTATCCTGTTTTTTGACTTTGAAAAAGCCTATGATCTAGTCAATTGGGACTTCCTCCATGACTGCATGAAGAAGATGGGAGTTGGGCCGAATTTCAGGGAATGGGTCAGAATTCTTTATGGAGATGCTACTGGAGAAGTACAGACTAACAGACTCCTACCCGATATCGAGGTTTGTACGCCAAGGTGACCCACTAGGCCCCCCCCATCTTCCTTTTCATCATGGAAGCAATAGCCTCATTCCTCCGCAAGGACCCCTCCATCGATCGCCTCACAAAACAGAAGTACAACCCCCTACATGACTTTTTTCTTCCCACTGCGTTGATGTTCGCTGATGATCTCATGGTCCTCATTCGGGCGAATAACTCCTCTCTCCAAGCCCTCATCAGAGCCATGGTGGCCTTTCGACTCGCATCAGAAATGAAGGTGAACTGGCTTAAAACTGAAGGCTGGTGGTTAGCAGATAGCCCCCCCCTCAATCGCCGGATCCATCCACCCCCATGTCATGGTCCACGGGCGACCAAGCACTCCAGTACTTGGGAATCATGATCAACAAGGAAGGCACATGGCCAGGGATGGGACAAAATCTAATTGCGAAGGCAATAGCTCACCTAGCCCCGTGTAAGAAAGCCCAGGCATCTCTGTTCGGCAAAGCACTAATCATAAACACGACAATATTCTCTACCCTGTGGTGTATGGCATCCATGTGGTCCCCCCCTGACGACGACCTCAAGACTCTGAAGGCTAGGGTAAGATGCTTCTTGTGGACTGGGGACCCTAACAGGACCCCACGTGCATTAACAAGGTTGCATGGCAATTGCTTACCAGGAAACCGCAAGAAGGAGGCATGGGCACTATAGACCCAAAAAAGGAAGCAATCGACCTTCAAACGAAATGGATTATTAAGATCCTAACCAAACAATTTCTCCCTTGGACAAAAATGGCCCTAGACAACATAAGAAACCTGGCATGAGCAAATTCTCCATCCAACATGCGCGACCTCTTCTGGATCATGGCCAAAGAATGGTCAATCAAAACAGGGAGGACAACAAGGAGAGTGCAGCATGAGATGACCAGTCAGCCTACCCCCTCGCCCAACCCTTACTGGTCGCCGACCCTGAAAGCTTGGCGTCGATTGATGCCCAACAAACATGGCGCACCGAATAACAAAGAGGAAGTCCTCAGGCAGCCTCTCTTCAGCAATCCATGGATAAAGGACGCAAAAGCTAATCCCTGGACCCTCCACGTGAAAGACCGCAGATGGCTGACCAGGTTGGAGAGAGGAGTGTGGCAGATCAAACATCTATGGTTCACAGATCGAGATGATTGGCTGACGGACGAAGAGCTCCGAACCTCCCTTAGGGGGTGCCACTCATTGGAAACCAATCTAGCAGTGATACATCAGAGCATCCCCACACAGTGGATAGCTCTCCTAAGAGAAAGATTCACCTAGAAGCCAGGTGAATGGGGCCTACTAATCTCTTAGACTCCGCCCGTGAGGGCCTATCGTTTCATTTCTAGATCAGATTCCTCCAGCTACCAATCCATCTTCTTATCTTTCCCCATCTCCAAACACAATCTTCAGGAACTGGAAATCCAGTACGATATCCCTCAAACAGAGCGGTTAGAAACCTTCCTTCTCAGAAAGGTCAGAGTCACCCAGAACAGACCATGGGTCATATTCCAGACAGAACTTCGCATCAATGACCTGAAATTTGACCCTAAGGAATGGAAGTGGAAACAAGGCTCCAACAGGAAATCAAGAACAATTTCTGAATACGACGTGAAATTCGGCTACGACCTCGGGTTGCAGACGACAGACCCGAACCCCGGGCTAAAAGAGAAATGGCAAAACATCCTGAACCTAGTCCCGTCGATCCCATTCACCATTCCCTGGACCAAATACCTTCTTATCAGGCCCGTCAGAATCCACAGCATGCAATGGCTCCTGGCACACGCAGCCCTCCTGGTCAACCAATGGCTCCACAAAAGAAGGAAACACTCAGACCAGAGAGCTCAGAACTCTGCGTTTTGTGCAGCAACAACACACCAGAAAATATCCCCCACTGCCTCCTCTACTGTCCTGAAGCGAACTGGATCTGGGACAAAGTTCGGCAACTATGGTCTATCCTCTTTTCAGCGCCACACCCAAACACTTCCCCTCTAACTATCCTACTCCTCTCTAACACTCCCAGGAAGTTCAAAGGCAGCAAGGAAGTCTGGTTCAATCTACTCAGAAAATTGGCTCTCTGGGTCATATGGAAACGTAGATGCACACGGACAATTGAAGGAGCAGAGGTGTCAAGGGAGGAAATGTGGACTTTCTGATAAGCATGGGGGAGACCGGAATTCGGGCCAGATGGCGGAAAATATCCTCATCCAAGATGCAGAGACCAGAAAAGCACGCATTCAAAAGACGGCGGAAAATATCCTCATCCAAGACGCAGAGACCAGAAAAGCACGCATTCAAAAGACTAACATTCCTGAGGAACTGGTTGTTAAAGGGCAAGATCGCCACCATAACGGTCAACAGGCTGATATGGAAAAAGTGGCATCAGGCGTCGTCGCAAAGCAATGGAACACCACGTAATCTACGGAGGAGGAATAGTACAACGAGCACAAGAACAAGCAGGGTAACGAGCAGGATACAATCGAGGGTTGAGATTGGAAGAAGGGGCCCTCTCTAACAAAGACAAGGGGTGCAGTCCCGAGAAGGACAAATTGAGGCTTTAGTCTCAGACGGACAGACATCTCTCCCAGTTTCTTGTGCTTCAACGCCTATTCGACAGAACCANCATAGCGGTCAACAGGCTGATATGGAAAAAGTGGCATCAAGCGTAGCCGCAAAGCAACGGAACACCACGTAATCTACGGAGGAGGAATAGTTCAACGAGCACAAGAACAAGCAGGGCAACGAGCAGGATACAATCGAGGGTTCAGATTGGAAGAGGGGGCCCTCTTTAATGAAGACAAGGAGTGCAGTCCCGAGAAGGACAAATTGAGGCTTTAGTCTCAGACGGACAGACATCTCTCCCAGTTTCTTGTGCTTCAACGCCTATTCGACAGAACCAACAGGGTTTCTGAGAGGAAAACTAGGGTAGGGCAAGCTGACAGCCAATCCTCCCAAGCAGGAGTAATCAATGCTGGTCAGGGTTCCTTCGTCCAAACGGAAGGAAGCATGAGTGTGTATTATTATGTATTCAATTTTGACTTGCCGGGGGAATAGGAACCTGACTGACGCTCCCCAGAATGGATATGGAGCCAGGGCCATAAGGACCTGTTTTCAACAAAAAAAAAAAACAAAAAACTTAATGGTATGGGGCAGCATCAAGCTCAATTCATCACCTTTTTGTTTTCTTTTTCTTCTGTTCATCTGGTTGCATCTGGGTTCAAACCCAGGTCCATATTTCCACAGTTCACAGGTATACCAATTAAGCTATGCCCACTGGAACAGCTCAATGCACCACTCCCCCAATTGAGTCTCACAGTGTTTTGACCATGAGCTTTGTTCTTCTTACCGCTACCAATAATAGCACACATTGACTTCCGTGTCTGTATGTACTATGCCTGCCTTTTTTTTGTCTTGTTTTTTGAAAAAAAACGGCTTTGGGTCTACTGTGGGGAGTCGTATGAGCATCTCCACATGGTAGCCCAATCAGGGGGGGGTCCGGTTTATTGGTGGGGAGCTACACCTGCTGTGTGCCTGTTATCAATGGTATGTTGTTACGAAATAATAAATCTGGCTCCGAAGATGCACGTCGGCGCATTTTCAGCCTGTGGAACCTGTTGGTGCTCACTGCTCAACCATTTCTGTGGATATTGAATGCAGTTGGCAATGATCAAGAATGAGCGACTCGCGAAGCAGTTGGTTGGTGGGTCTATCTATGACTGCATCTGCAAGTTCGAGCCCGCAGCCTAAGCTTGTGTGAACGCTCGGGGACTCTTGCACTGATGCAACGAGGTTGCGAGAGGACACATCCTGCACAGTGAGTCAATCGCAGGATGCTTGGAAGGTCCAAGATCAACTCACAAAAAGTCGAACCCTTGACCTGCACAGTGAATCAGGCACAGGATGCTTGGAATTCCCTGACGAACTCACCGGGGATTGAGCCTGTGACAGGATGCTTGGGAATAAAACCTGCGATCGGCACAGCGACGAAATAAGAGGTCGAAGATAGACGCACACGCAATTGAACCTGTGACCTGCACAGTGAGTTGCAGAGATGCTTGGAAGTCCAAGACCTGCACAGTGAATCACAGGATGCCTGGGAGTCCAAGATCAACTTGAAGGATTCGAACCTGTGACCTGCAAAGTGGCTCGCACGATGCTTCAGCTTTGTCAAGCATGCTTCAAGTTTCGAACAGTCCTTTGAGAGGTAGCAGTGCTTCAGCTTTGTCAACCCCGATCCAGTAATATTGTCGGAGAGAAGAAGCCGATTTTTATTATCTTGTAGAGAGCTCTTACATCGACTCCACATGACGTCTGTCTGAATTGCATGTACTGTACCTTTGCCGTCTCTGTGTCGCAGAGCGAGTCCCAGCCTGACAGGTAACTGTTCCTGCTGGAATCAGATGCATATAAGAAATGTTAGGGGCTATCTGCAGCTGCCCCCTTTAGAGAGGGGGGGAAAAAGCTACCATCTTCACCCGAATACAACGTACAAATGTACGGTCGTTAGTGCTGTATCTAGATTCTAGACTCAATGTTGCCGCAAAGAAACAGCTATAATAACCGAACGTTGTATTCGGGTGAAGACGGTAGTGTGAACCTTCTTACAAGCAAAGTGGCTTTGTTCCTTGAGGAAGTCCCGCTCAACTACTAGCACGTGTCGGATGTCCGCAACATAGTAATGCTGCTGGTTTCCCTTGCTGGAAAGGGGCCCCATGATAAGGAGACAGCGGGCTGTTTCCTCGTTTGAATGCGTTGGAGAGTGCTACGCGGCTCGGGCGCCTCTGTCCAGCAAGGTGTATGATTTACTACTAGTCTAATAGCCTAGTAATAGGAGCCATTTTTTTTCGGAAACCGAAAGGAACTGTAGGAAGGGGCAACGAGGAGGCTGGTTTTGTGTAATTGGTGAGGTTAACAGGGTACGCTGGACCCGTTTTCCAGCAGGTGCAGCTTCCCAGCAATGGAACGGAGCCATCTAAGACCGGGAACGGTGGCGGGGGTGTCTGTTCTTATCAGCACCCCCCCCACACCCCGTCGTCGATGTTGAACAAAAAAAAGAAGAAGGGTATGCTACTATGATATTATGTTATTGAATGGGATAGCTAGAGTGTCTAAGAAGAGACTACAAGAGTACGATAACCCCCAGGGCATCAAGTTAGAGAGCAGATGTGAGCAATCGATTTTGCGGTTTGGAACACGAGTTGGCAGGGGCTGAGCATGACCTTCATAGGCACAGACTTCTGCCTTGGCCGCAGATTAAACTTTGAATACGTCCGCTGTGGAGTCTATTGGGTGCAACGTGACCGCAGCAGGTTGGTGTTGTGCACTTGCTGTGGAGGAGGTTAACAGGGTGTGTCGGTAAGTTTCTATCTTATTCTGTGGCATTGAATGGGATGCGGGAACCGCCTGACAGGAGGCTATATATAGCATGGCTCAGGGCACAAGTGAGTGTGTGCAAGTGAGTGCTCAGATTTTGGGAATTGAAAAACAACTGGGTAGACTGAGCCTTGGATTGACCCAGCAGTCTTCCTGGACCTCTCTCGGCTTCAACTTTTGTCCGTCCGTGAGTGATGTCTGTCTGCACTTGCTTGTGGTGATTTGCTCTGTAACCAGGGATGTGGAATCCAAATCAGGGGGTACGAGGGATGTTGAATCGAAATCAGGGGGTACGAGAGGTGTTGCATCCAAATCAGAGGCTACCTGGGACGTTCAATCGAAATCAGGGGGCTAAGGGTGTGAATCCAAACCAGGGGTACCCGAGCAGGGTGTGGAGTCCAAAACAGGGGGTACTCGAGCAGGGATGCCGAGTCCAAATCAGGGGGTAAGAGGGGTGCCGATCCGAATCAGGGGGTATGAGAGGTGAGAATCCAAATCAGGGGGTACTCAAACAGGAGGGTTGAATCGAAATCAGGGGTTACGAGGGGTGTTGCATGCAAATCGAAATCAGGGGTTACGAGGGGCGTTGCATGCAAATCAGACGGTACCAGGTATGTTGAATCCAAATCAGGGGTTACTCAAGCAGGGGTGTTGAATCCAAATCCGGGGGTACTACGGGTGTTGTATCCAAATCAGAGGGTACAGGGATGTTGAATCCAAATCAGGGTGTTTGGGCTGTGAATGGAAATCAAGGGGTACCCAAGCAGGGGTGTTGAATCCAAATCAGGGGTTGAGGGGTGGGAATCCCAATCAGGGGGCACTCGAGCAGGGGTGCTGAATCCAAATCTGGCGGCACGAGGGGTGTTGCATCCACATCAGAGGGTACCAGAGGATACTGAATCTAAATCAGTGTATATGAAGGGTGTGCATCCAAATTAAGGGGCACTTAAGCAGGGATGATCACAATTTGATTGTGTTGCATTCACAGAGAGGTGGCAAGTTGGCATCGTCCCAATGCAAAAGAATGGTCGGCCTTCATGCTCAACCTGTTCCACTACTCCAGGTTGGCCCTGCTCATGGTGGCATGGCACATGAGATGATGTTTTGAAAGAAAAGAGCACTCTTCGCCTTTCACCGGGCATGGGCCGCAATGGCAGACACAATCACAGCTAAAACACATGAGGCCTGGAAGGATATGCAGTCCATGCTACAGCGAGAACCAGATGCCCCTCAACAACTTCTGCTTGGTCTGGACGGATAAGAACCGCAGGCTTTGCAAGCTGGACCAGTCTCATAACCTGCGGTGGTAGCCCTGGCTCGCCACCAGGAATCAATGGGAGTTCCTACCCTCTGATCACTTCAGCGGGATACACCAGCCTACCAATTTTGTGCTGCTGATCACGGACAGACCGGCAAACATAGTGTCACAAACCTCTGTTAGGTTGCAGATAGTCACAGTAAACATACGCACACTATCCAGAAGCTGGCCATGGTTGGAACACAGTACGCTTCGTCTTAATGCGCCGAGAGTGCCGTACCTGTACGCTTTCTTTTCATTAAATTCATAATCCAGACCATTCAGACTTTACCACTTTTCTTCCTTCTGGCATATATATATATGGATTTTCGATTCCAATCCGGTTGGTTGGTTCGGCCGAGCATATGGTCGCTTTATCTGGATGATACTATACATTCTATACTGGGACACTGGACGCGATTTCCAGCCGGTGCTGCTCCCCACCAATAGATGACACGGGTGTGCTTGACGAGGTTGCTCCTATCACCTCGTCAAGCAGAACCCCCTGTACACGATGTTTCTTCAAAAAAAAAGAAAAGAAAAGAAAAGAAAGACCTGGGTCACCTAAGGGCACACCATGTCAACTGCAGCAAGGTTACCAAACGTGTCTTTTTTTTGGGGAGGGAACTAGGATGCTGTCAAGGTTTTAGTTTGAAAATGCATTTCAGTCACGAATTTGCGAATGTTGTGCTGAACCGAGGAAAATCGTGAATGTATACAACCCAGCCTTAGAGTCAGGTGGGGATGTGCTGTATTCGAGGGATGTGTGAAGTACCGCCATTACACGGCTCCAGCCTTGCTGAAAATGCAATTCGTCGCCTACAAAATTTTCAGAGGCTCAGCTTATCGGACCACAATGGCTGGTTGCACCAGCCAAAACAAAAAGAAAGTGCGCCACTTGCGGCTCGGAAAACCTTGGTGCGCAGTGACTCCCCTCCAGGCCTGGGTGCACTGGTGGTTTACAACTATAATCGTGATTGCGCCCTTGTTAAGGGGGCGGGGTAGGCGTCTCTATGCTATCTATGTATGAAGTGTGCTCGCGTTTACATAGCGTTGTCGAGCGCACGGTCCCTGCAGAGGGGGGACCTTCCCGGAACCGTCACGTAGGATTGGCAGATTCGCAAGTCGCATCACGTAAAGGGAACCAGCGCAGCCGCTCCGACCGAGTGCGCTAGCTATACATCCTTCGAGCCCGTACGACAGGATAGGGTCTCAGGAGGAATAACTTACCTCCACCTGCAGGAGTTGTTACAATCCCTTGGGTGGGCGTATCCCCGCCAAGCTACCAAGTCACACGTAGCCAAGGGTGTTTCTCGTATGCTGTAGCATAGGGGTTACACGCAGCCCACGCCTAGATCAGACCCGCACGCGATCCGTCGTGTGGGCCGATGATTTCTCACACGCAGATCCGCACCGTCGACAGGACACCCTAACTTAACAGCGCGCCACACACACACACACACACAACAACAACAACAACAACAACAACAACAACAAGTAATAACTCGAACATGCATATATGCCTAGTCCCTTTTTCAAATGTTCTGACCCATAACTCGAAAGGCATTAGAGCGTTTAGGTGAAGTCCGCGCAAAGTTGCATAAGAGGAATGCACACGCGAGGAAGGCCATAACACTCAATCATGTGTACTCACTCGATCAGCTGTCATGGCGACGATTTATTCTTACTCACAACCGCGCAACCTCTCATGGGCTTCAGGATTGCTCATGACACTGAAGTGTCAAAAGTGAAATAACGTGAAGGATTTCTCCTTCATGATATTGAACGGCTGAAGGATAAGTCGTTCATCCCTTGCGTCGCCCATGTCTTTTAAGCAGTGGGACTCGGTGAGCAAGGGGTAACAGTCTGGCATATAAGGGAAACATTTTTGTGAGGGACCAAAACTTGGAATGTCCTGGACAAGAACCTTGAATTTCAGGTTCATGACCAATGTCTAACCAATAATTCAAAAAGAAAACCCTTCAAGATGGGGTTCGCTCGTCCCTTTCTTACAAAAAGATAAAAAAAAGTAGGTGCGGATTAGCGATCAATTCACCGTACCGGACCTGAGTCTTACTTCAGTCGAGAGTCGATCGTTAAGCCCTGCGTTTAATTACTCCTACCTTTTCGCTAGATGCGAGCGGCAAGGAAAGGGGAAATTGAAGAAGAAGGGGAACATCTCGAAGGAAATCAGGGAGAGTCATTCTCACAACTACAATTGAATCTTGTCACCCACACCCTACACTCATCCATTCATATCATTCTCAATCCAGGAGCAACCCTCGCTCCTATACATACCTGCACATACATGAGGCCCAACGAAACATGCAAGTGTCACAAACGTGGTGAACCCTTTTGTTCCTAGATTCATGTCTCTTACGCCCCTTTCCGAACCCCGCTCAACAAAGGCATACCACATACTTTTGCATGGTCATTTAAGAGAGGTTTCAAGGGTAGGAATTTCATTTAGAGGGAAATGTGTATGAGGTCACAGACATCGAGGCGTGGGTATAATGGTGAATAGGAGTCGAATCTCAAACCGACCTGTTATCAATTTAATAGCAGAAGTTGATGAAGCTCAAGACCTCTGAGAGTAGTCGCAGGTAATAGTGACCTGTGTCAAAAAAACTAAGGCAAACGTTGTCTGTCGAGTTAACAAAGATCAATTTTTTATCGCATTCTAAACTACTTAGCCGTGACGTCTGGTGACCATATAAAAATAACAAAACTTTGGGCAGCACTTCCTTTAGGGAAGTGAGCTCGAAGAATATTTACTAAACAAAATCTAAGAAGAAAACTAAAAACTCAAAGATTATCTAAAAAAAAAATAACTCTTTGGTTTAATATTTACTAAACAAAATCTAAGAAGAAAACTAACAGCGGCACTTCCCTTAGCAAGGAAGACTTTCAACTCAAAGATTATCTAAAAATAAACTAACTATTTGGTTTTAGTATAAATTTCAGCGGCACTTCCCTTAGCAAGGGAGACTTTCATAATTTCGACCGACCTCAAAGATTAAACTAGTTCTAACCCAAATGACATTCCAAGATTTTGACTAACTCAGAGGTTTTAGTAGAAATTTCGACAACACCTCCCCCTAAGGAAGGAAGCTCTCATCATTTTTACTAACTCAGAATCTAGTTAAAATCTTAATGAAGCAATCATGCCTGAAGAGATAATGCGAAAACAAAAGTAGACAACTGCCTGCCAATCACTCAAGCACAAAGCGCGTACTAACAACCAGAGCCAAGAACCGACCTCTCTCACATAGTACAAGATAGCGCAGCGGAAGTCTAAAATACCAATGATTAGCCCAATCAATGGGGCAATTCAGACCAAACATACATCATCATTCCATGGTGTGAAGGGGCCTGGCGCTCACACAGGAAGAATGTGCCAGTCCCCAACCATACACAGATGAAGAAGAGGGGCGTTAGACAAAGAAGAAGGGAAGATGGGAATGTCGTCAACACCAAGTCTTCGGTACAGGTCCCAAATAATCCCTCGTCGAATGTCTGAATCCCAATGTTGAGTCTGGATCCAAATGTCGTCAACTCCCAAAGTCACCAATCTCTCTCTCGTAGTCTGCAGATACCGAGAAGTCAGGTAGCGAGAGGGTGAGGAAGAGATGGTGGACTTAGAAGAGGAAGAAGAATAACTCTCTCTCTCTCTCTCTCAGTCCGGTACTAACCTGTGAAGGTGGCGCCTTGTTGCAGGTACATCGAAGACGAAGCTGGAGCTATGGCGCCACAGGTAAGTCTCCCTGGCCTCCACCAACCATCTCTCTCTCTCTCTCTCTCTCTCTCTCTCTCTCTCTCTCTCTCTCTCTCTCTCTCTCTCTCTCTCTCTCTCTCTCT